ATTACTGTGAGACCTAGTTCACGGGAGACTCTTAGTGAGTCCCCATCCCTCCCTCTTCAAGCAGTCACGGTGATAGCTCTAGCTTTCTGGCTTGGTCCCACCATGGCATTTTTTATATCATTTTGCTAATAAGTAGAAAAGCTTGTGAGCCCAGTTAAAATAAACGCAAAGACCAGGTACAGTCTCTAAAGGAAGGGATGGGCCCAGGCTAGATGGCTCTCCCAATTTTCCAGCCCTGTCCAAGGTCCATCAACAAAAACTCTGTAAATCACACACACAGGCACAGATTCTAAACTTGGGTCAGACAGGGACCTGGCATGCTCCCTGAGGCCAGTCATCTTTCCCCTCATCAGCTGTATATAACGTCTTGCATTCATAGGTCCTCTTTGGAATAATAACAACAATAATCTCTACTCTGGTCTCTATACCCCTTAAAGTGTGTCTTAAGGAGACTCAAGGTTGCAGGCTCTAGGCAACTGGGGAAAAGAGGACTCAGAAATATCCCGATGTCAATACAAGTGAGGACCCACAGCACATATATTTTTTCAAATTTGTAAGCAGCTCAGGTTGAGAGGTGCAAGCCCACCTCAGAAGTTGTGTCTTCTCATCTGGAGGAGCACTGCCGGAAGATGTCAGCAGAGCAGCCTTAGAGTTAGAGCTTGAGTTCCTTTGACCTCTTAGGTAAAATGTCCCTTAGCGTATCAACATTTCAACTTCACACATTGTGTGGAAACTGAGCCAGGGCCAGATCTCTAGAAAAGACCTGCTCTGAGGGCCTTTATTGACAGTAACCTGAAGATGGAGTTTCATCTTTGTCTGAATCTGATATGGTGCTGGGCACCTTGAAATGACTGGGGCCTCGATGCGATGAATTCAAATGTATGAACTGCTTAGCGGCAATCGAAATGAAGCTAAGGACAAGCTAAATGTCTCTGGATTTTACAAAGTAAAAAGTATTCTAAATGACATAGATATTTAGACTAGAAGAGAAAGAGGAAGACATATTAGGGGCAAGGCATTGTAATAGCACTTTACATACCAGATTTCATTTATTTAAATGCTTAAGTAGAAAATATTGAGGAGACAGGTTTTCTGAGTAGCTGAGAGCATACATTTATCCTCTACCAGAGAATGAAGATGGATGAAAAGCACTGGTAAGAAAGTAGGTAAAAGGATTCTTTCCAGAGACCATTTTTAGTCTGGGATGCTAGCCAGAGGAATCTAGAAGAAAGGAAATAATGAACTTGTAGACTGTCAGAGCGGGAGAGAGCTGAGGAACTTACGTTGTCCATCCACTGTGCTCTATCTGACAAATAAGGCTGCAAGGACCACAGAAGAAAAGTGACCCACCCATCCTGATGCAGCAAGACCTGTGCAGTGTCCACTTCCAGTACAGGGGTCTTTGGGGGAAACCTAACCATCCCTGATCCTCCTCATCAGTCAAGTATTTAAGTTAGCACGTTTCCTGAACGAGTGTCATTTTCTCTTGAGTAGCACACATACTGCTTTGACCTATGTGTTACTGCCCTTGCGTAATGGCTATTGCCACTCACTGCACAGAAAGAGTCCTTGGCTTATGACTGAGCTCATTAATCCAACCCTTGGGATGTAAACTGTCCTTGCTTTCCAGTGCATCTATTTGTGGGGCCAGCCAGCTTCATCCTGGAGTATGGTCCTAAGACCATGATTGAGATCTAGCCAGGAAACTCAAGAGAGCCAGACATGACATCTGTCATGTGATCATGCTGGTGTTCCCTGAAACTTTAGATCTGGCTCGGCAGGTCTAAATCAAGATGACTCACCCAAAGTGGCACAACTAGACAAGAACTTTGATGCCAGCCTCTGCCTTTACTTCCTAGAGAAAAGCACCTGTATTGACCACAGTCATTTACTAGTAGTTTACTGGTACTAATATATACCTAGGACTGATGGGTCCTGGGGCAATACCACTGCTAGGACCACAATATGAGGACCAAAGTATAGCAGGAAAAAACAGCAACCAGGTGGCCAGTGTCACTCTCCACACCCGGCTGGAAGAGGCTGCCAGGGACACCACCACCTTGTATCTCCCAGAGCATCACATAAGCCATCTAGATCTCTTTGCAAAGGACACAGAACAGCAATTCTCAAGTGCATTCCTCAGCGAGGCTGTATAGGCTTTAAATACAAATAAATGACAATACATAATAATTTAAAATATAACCTTAATCAAACAATAAATGACAATAATATAATATTAATTGACTATAGTTGCACAGCAAATAAATTATGGAGCCTAAGGTCCCACTTTCCAGGCGTGTATTATTTCTTATGTAATAACAGTCATGCAATAGATAGATAGGGATAGATAGATACCCATTCCACAGATGAGATGACAGAAAGGTTAATAGAAAGCTAAAAGCTGTGCTCAGTGACAAGACTTTATTCAGGGCTTTCATCCCATGGAATATGGCCGGAAGTCACTGCTTCCAACCATCAAATATTAGCAGAATTTTCTTTCCCTCGCTGCCTGCCACACAACCAAACACACGTGTTCTTCATTCCAATGAAGAGCTAAACCAAAGCCTAGAGGATTTATGAATCTTATGTTACTTTCCTAGGTCGCTCAGAAGCGCTCATCTTAAACTTAATTACAAGGGGAGAGAAAATTCAACTTGCAAAAGCTGTCTGGAGGAGCAGACCTGCGGGTGAGGCAAGCAATGGTCCAGGGTCTGAGAGGAAGGCCGGGCAAGCAGTTCCACGAGCTCCCCTAGCGGCAGAGCGGAGAAGTAGTAGGAAATGAGACAGGGCTCTTTAAACAACAGATATTAAAAAGGGTTTGACTGTGATCTAGAAAGCAGGAAACTGACATCTTTAAATCCACCTGATGCCCTGCAATCAAAAACCAAATTATCTCGTATCAAGAGCAACGGAATACAGAGTAAGTACAGAAGAGGTGGGCGGTGGAGAGAAAACTCCAGGGTGGAAAGAACGCGCCTGTCAACAGGTGGGAGGGAGAGCAGGATAAACAGGATTTTCAAAAAGGCCTAGGGGAGAAAATGAGATATATGAATAGCTGAGCTGCGGGATGGAGGTGGGAACGGCAAGCAGCCCTAGCCTCCGGATGACTCACTCTCTTTCTGCCCAGCCACTTTGGGGATTTCTCCTGCAGGAACAGCTTCCTCGGCTCAGGTAAGCTGTGGGGCCGTTCCCTGTGATCAGTGACATAAGAGTGGAACCGTCTCTGAGAAGGGGCTGGAAACAGATATCGTGGATGTTTTAAATGAAAAAAAATCTATTTATTTCTATAAATTCCCAGGTCACTAAGTCCAATAATAAGATCACTCACTTCTCAATCACGCTCCACCTCAGGCATCTGCTCAGTTCATATGTTTGCAGAGTCAAAGAAATATGTGACCTGAATATCTACCGACACCATAGCAGGTTGTAAAGAATCTTCTCCAAAGAGCCTGCATCCCGCATCTGTCACTGCTTCCGTTTTTATAGGATAGACCACACCGCGAGAGGCGCGGGGCTTCAGAAGCGCTCACGGGCACCATTGCACGTGTAACGCAGTAAGAGTCCCAGGCGAAGAGCACGTGACCCTCAGTTGCGTGAACCTGGGGCCTCTGAGAAACTGAAAATAAGATGTGGCCTCCCGCAGACATTGGTGGGGTCATCCCAAAGATGCTTGGGAGGTACACGCTCAACACTCATCGCTTTTGGAGAAGCAGGGTCCCAGGACTGTCTTGGTGAGGTTTCCCTAGTGCTTACTGTGCGGCAGATAAATTAAGCTTCAAGTGATGAACTGCTGGGAACCGACAAATCTTGGGGAAGACATGCTCCTTGCAGAAGAGCCACCAGAAGAATAATAAGGAGGGCCACGCACAAAGACAGAGTCCTGAAGGAGGGGAAGAAGCGTGGGCCGAGGTGTACCAGCAGGGATCCCCATGAAAGATTAGGTTCCACGGGTAATTTTCTTCCAGCAACTAGGTGAGGAAGGAACATTCTTACATCTGTCTTTCACTTTGTATGATGGAGCTCCACAGTGCCCCAAACTGGGGGACTTAAAATGACAGAAATTTTTTTGTCTCAAAGCTGTGGTGGCTAGAAGTCCAAAATCAAGGGGACCGGGGAATGTAGCTCAGTGGTTCACTGCCTGGAATGTTGCCACAGCACCTAGAGGTCTTTTTCCTGGGCAGAAAAAGAAGGAACTCTGTTAATCAACCAGGAGTGTCTGCTCTGTGTCCCAAGCCACATATGTATACTCGAACTTTTTATTAATTTTTGAAATTTGACAGAAGAATAAATAGGTTTTTCCTTCTCTCTCTTGTTTGCCACTTGTAACAATGGGCAGATAGATACATTAGGTTAGCTCAACCAATCACATGTTTTCTATCAGGACTTTGAATCTTGAGCAAAAGACACAAAACATTCATCAAAAGACAGGGCACCTGGGGAACCTTCTCACTGCACAGTGGTGGTGGTGATGATGGGGCCTGTACTGGGTACTTGAATGTCCAGTGCTTAAGTCCCCAACCCAGGCTGATGTCTTCACTTCTGCCTCTCACACTCACTCCACTGACATTTCTTTGCATGGTACACGTGGTCACCTCCATCGTTTAAATATCACCGCATAGCTTTGAGGTGGGAAGAAAGTCTGAGAGTGGCTGTGCTAGGTGTAAAGAGATATCCCTTGGAAATACAAAATACTCTAAACACCTGCTATCAGTAGTGACTGAAGAAATTCAGGAGATCTCACTTTTATTACGAGTCTTCTATTGCAGGAAAGGGAAACAAGTAGGGAAAAAAAAGGCTAAAGTTTCTAAAACCCAGCAAATAATGTACTGAACAAATATCATGACCACCCACTGCACGGCCTGGTTCCCACTTCCTCTGGTAGCAGAAAACTGGTAAATGGCACCTTGCCCACTCCCAGTGGCTAGTGGTAATTGAGTCCTAGAGCTTAATGGTGGGGCTCAAAAGACATTGTCCTCTACTCCTCTCCTCTGTCCCCACAGGTTACTCCGCTGCTTTCTCCTCTGCAGAGACCAGCAGCCAATGGACCGCAGTGTCCAAGCCAAGTGAGTTTTCTGGAAGTGGTATCTTCTCGTGTCTTTCACTTGGAGTACAGCCACTCCACGCTTCTTCAAACTGCACATGACACAGTAGATGCTGGAAATGCCAAGACGAATAAAACGCACAGCCCACCCTCCATCTTTGTTGGGACACACTCCTGAACAAAGCGAAGATGACTGGTCCCAGGCAGAATGTCCCACTCACGGGGGAAGAAGCAGGCCTAGAGTAATGTGGTCAGCAGCTGTTAGAGAGGGCATCAAATCATGGCTGAGGACACCTGACTCAGATTGTCACAGAGGTTCAGGTAGAAGCTACCTAAGAGATTATTTAGTCCAGAGGTTTCCAAGCAGAGAAACTGTCTTCAAATGACTTCCATAGTGAGTCTCAATAGACAGCAGGTAAAAGTAGAGTGTGCTGATGGAAGGAGCTGTAGAAATCCAAGCACCCTGTCCACCTAGCTCCCACCCCATCCTCTTTATGGGCCTAGAGGCACTCGGAGCTCCAGGCCTCTCAGCAGGAAAGCCCCAGTGTCATCCAACATGTTATTCATTTTGTAAAAGAGGAGTTGGAGGCTTGGCAAGTTTAGCCATGTTAGTAGCTGAAGCCCCCACCTCCTGATCCTCATTCCTGTTCTCTTTCTGCAAAATTTGCCATTTTCTGACTCAGTTTCTTGGTCTTTAAAATAAGGGACTCCTGGGGATCAAGGGGGTCTGAAAACACGATGAAAACCTTAAGCTCCTGTGACTGCTTTTATAAAGTGAGAAATCAAATTCAATAGTATTTCTTAAAACCTCCTTATTCCTGTTCAAACTACTCCTTCTTCACCACTGTGTACAAATAAAAGGTGAGAGCTGGGCCTTAAGGCCCCTATAAGGCTCCCCACGAAGAGGTCCCCATTCCTGGGCACAGAGGTCAGGGGACACCACAGAAGAGAAGTTCGATGTCCTCACAGGGTTCTTAACATCTGACAAGACCCCTCCTTGCTGTCAGAATGTCTCCTTGCTATTGAAAAGGAGCTTTAGCTTTCCTCAGGAAACTCTCCAAAGCCCCATTTTCTAACTGTTTTAGCTGCAGGAGCTACAGTAAGTACCTCAGGGCTGCCTACTTAGAGCTCAGCTCCCTCCATAAAGCATTACCTTATACCTCATTGTTCTTCTCCTGGGGAAGATGAGCAACTACTTGCCCAGGGCTTCAATTAACAGGAGACCAAGCCAGCTTTTCAAAGAGCAGCCTCTGATTCCTCTGAGTAAGAGTGAGGCTCTGCTATGACTTGCACATGTCCCCAGATTTGTGTGTTAGAAACTTAACTCCAAAGCAGCAGTGTTGAGAGGTGGTTAATCACATTAAGAGGTGATCAGATGAGTGAAGGAACATCATTATCACAGGAGTGGGTCACTTATCTCAGGAGAGGGTCCCTGATGAAAGGGTGAGTTTGGTCCTTTTCCTCTCTCACCCGTGCACGTGGTTTCTTGGCCTTCTGCCTTCTCCCGTGGGATGACATGGCGAGGAGGCCCTCCCCAGATGCAAACCCCTCTGCCTTGGACTTCCCAGTCTCCAGAAGTTTAAAAAATACATCTCGGTTCTTTATAAGTTATCCAGTGTCAGGTGTTCTGTGATGGCAGCACAATACAAGTGTCCCAGAAATGGAGAAAAGAGTTCAGAATGCTGTGGTCTCATCCTCAGGGCTGGGAGCAAGCAGAGAGTCGAATAAGGTCCCTCCTTCTTCCCTCTGTCTAGAGATGAGGGGGGCCTGAGAGGTCTAGGTGTTTACACATCCCTACTCGCAGCCCCTGAGCCTCCAAGTAGGAGAGGGGCAGGGAGGATGACTCCAGACGATGAGACTGAAAGTGCTCAGCTGCTGCCTGCTGCCCCAGAAGCCCATGCATGTGACTGGGCCTCTCCCACAGGCTCATCCTCAAATCAGCAAGGATCGTGCAGTGAGAGCGTTATGAGCTCCACTGACAGATGAGCAAACAGATGCCCCCCTCCCAGGACAAGGGCGTAGTCTGCGTTATGCATGGGGACTTCAGCAAGCGTGGGCTAACCAGGGCTTTTGCACTCCCGTTTAGTACTGTTGATAATCTGATGAATGCAGCTCCCTCGTAACTCTAAGGGGGTGGGGGGAGATGGACTCATGGGAGGTGGCGAAGGGGCCTGCTGAAAGCCAAACAAGAGGCAAGAGGCCCAAGTGAAGAGTCCAGGCTCTTGGGAAGCCCTAGGCCAGTGTGCCTGAGGTTGTATCTGAGAGTCTTAGCACTAATTGTCTCCTAATTAGGAAGAGGCAGCACTTAAGGGAAAGAAGCACTGTCTGTACCGGAATTGTGTTTGTATTACAGTGAGAGGCGTTTAGGCCAGACAGGAGAAAGACCTTCACCATGTCAGGCATGCCGTTTCAAATTGTTTACGGAAATGGCGTCCAGATCTCCAAGAGCTGATGATATCTCTGAAATATTTCTTTAATATTTGTCTTTTTCTCAGGCCAGGGATTTAGCTTAGTGGCACCATACCTGCCTTGCAAGTGCAAGGCCCTAAATTCCATCCCTAGTAAAATATATATATTTGCCTTCTTCTTTCCTAGATCGAGACTACATCATCTTCCCCCTAGACAAAAGGACCAGTCTCTAATGGCCTTCCGAGCCATCTTCCCAAGGACAGAGGTGTCCTGTGCAGCCGAGTCTGACCTGCATTATCCTCCCCTCTGCCTCACTTCTTCACCTGGAAACTCTGGCTTATCCTTCACATTCAGCCCAAGTGTTTCCACCACTGGACAGCCTGCACAGCCACAGTGAGTCTGGTGTCCATACGCCTGTGTCTGTCTCCCCAGTTTGGCAGCAGTCTTTAAGGGAGACAAGTCACAATGACCCATCATTTGATATGCAGGAAATGGCTGGGAGGATTTCCGGAAGTGTTGTGATGATTCGATCTGAACTCACCCAGGTAGGGGTAGTCCAGGATGTCAGGATGAATGGGCCTTTATCTTCCTCTCCAAGGTCCCTGGGTCCTATGGTTGTTACATAGGGAAGGTTCCATTCTATGGTCATTAGACCCAATATGAAATCAACCACATTTAAAAAATCCCAGGAGCAAGAGAGAATATCATCCTCAAACCTCATTCAGAATTATTACAATGATGTGATTGTAAGTCCTTGAAATAAAAAAAAAATGCCTTTTGATAAGAGGAAGGAAAATGTGACGGTTAACTCTCTAGTACATGGAGAGAAGAAAGCAAAGGATTTATCCACATTCATAATTACTGCTTTCCCTTGGACCTGGTGTCTTCTTTGGTCAGGTGAGTCCACTCAGTCTGAAAGAGCACAGAGAGAACACAGGGTTCAGTTCTTCAGTGGCAGCCCTGGCTCTCCAGCATAGCCAGGGATTGTCTAATAGGCGTTTTACTGTGGCTCTGAGGCCAAGGCTTCTACACAGGGCAGTGGGTGGATGGATTTATAGTCATAATTTCTTGTTCTTTGTTTTCTGATCAAGGTGTGAAGAGTCCTTGCTCTGTATTTACTGTACCAAGGCTACTTTTACTGGGAGAGAAAACCTGAGGGCAGGAACTGCAGCCAGCCTGCTCTTGCCTCTGCTCTGCACATGGGACTTCACACCCATATGCCACTCTGTTCCCCAGTATGAAAAGCTGACACCATGCCTTCCAAGGCAGTGGCCAAGTGAAGGGAGCCCACCAGGGTCACATTTGAGAGAGTTTCTTCTGCCCCAGCCACAGTGGAGACCCACTTTCCTCAAGAGCATGGGCACATATTTAGAGTAAAATATCATGGTCTGGTTTTGCTTGTGTTAAAAGGCAAAGGATTAAATTTAGTAGCCTGTCTTAAAGCACATTTTCCAGCGGAGCCTCTCTGTACCCTTTCATGAAGACTCAAGAGAAATATCCCCTGAACAGAAGCAATCTATCCACAAGGATCTAACTTCAACCCTCCCTTTCTCAGAGAGAAGTCATCAGCTGGTGCCAGTTCAACAAGGAGCAGCAACCATTCCATCCCTGCACAAGACTGTCCAATGATTCCCCATTGCCTTTAAAGTTTAGCCTAACCTCCACTGACAAACATTCGTTCACTCAATCATGACTGTATACTTCTTGCTAATGGTTTGGTGCAAGACCCCGTGAATGCAGAGATGGAATCACTGAACAAGGATTGTGGTCTGGACCTGCACCGAGCTCATAGTCTATGGGGTGAAATGGTTTGTTTTATGTGTCAACTTGCCAGGCTACAGTTTCTATTTATTCTACCAACACCAGCCTAGGCATTGCTTTGAAAGTGTCTTGTAGATAAGATTGAAGTCCATAATGAGTTGACTGTAAGGAAGATTATCATACATGAGTTGGATGGGTCCCAGCCAAATAGTTGATAAGTTTCAAGAGCAGAGTTGAGACTTACCTTAGTGTTTCAGTTTCTTCCTCCTGATGGCATGCCCTATAGATTTCAGATTTGCTGCTCAGTCCCCACAACTGCACAAGCTAATTCCTTGCAATAAGTTGCATAACTTATATCTCTAGCAGATTCTGCTTCCCTGGTTAACCCTTGTTTGCTGAAGCAGTGATGAGGCTATCAGGAGTCATAGCCTCCCCCTGCCCACCTGTCCAATACACCATGGGCCAAGCTCCTTCTCACATCAGGCACTGCATTAGACATTCCCACGTGTGCTGAATTGATTATTCTTCCCATTTAATGGCTAGGTAAGAATTACAAAGAAGCAAACTAGGGTTCACAAAGATTAAGTAATTAACCTGTGGTCATTTAACTGCTCTAACTTAGCAAGTTGGAACTATAGTGATGTGCCAGACTCTGAGTCAGGTTTGGGTCTGTTTATTTAAAGCTGGTGACCAAGAGAGGCTAGTGCCTGGAAAGATCTCTTGACCCTGAGATGCAATTTGATTTCTCCTTTCAAACCATGCTTTCAGTTGGGGACACCTCAAGGGAAGAAAAAGCAAGCTGAATTTTATAGAAGCAGAACCATGCCAGGTTAGATGGGACAAGAGGAAGCTTCACACACTAGGTGAGCTACACAACATCCTGCAACTGCAGCAAATTTTCTGCCAAACAGGATATGAGTTTTGGGTGCTTTGTCCAGCACAAGTACAAAATGGTGGTGCGGCTCAAAATGGAGTCAGGTTGACTATCACATAACTAGCAAGCTACAGAGTAGGGATTCAAAGTAATTCTGCCTGTTCCCCAAACTTATTATCTTTCTACTATACTATACAACCTACTAATTAAACTTTTACTTCACTGTCTGTTTCAGTTTCTTTATTTGTGAAAAGAGGGGGACTCCCACAGCCCAGCCCATTATATGATGGCAAAGTGAAGTTTACATTACCATAACCACTAGTTGCCAAATTTCTCTTCAGAAGAGAGCAGTCTATGGATAATATAATTTGATGAGTGCCTGTGACAGGCCTTCCTCACCATATTCTGGAAAGCAAATGGCACAAGGCTTCTGAGGAAAAGAAACTTGCTCTGAAAATGGAGGAAATCTTCAGAGAGAGAGAGAGAGAGAGAGGGCAAGTGGTAGATTTGAGGGAGGAAGAGAGAATCCACTGAATGGCAGAAGTCTGTGTCCTTGATGGTGGCTTTCCAAAGATCATCAGTATTATCTGCTGAAAGCACAACACTTATTAAGATTAATTTGAGGGAGGAGAGTAGAGAGAGAGAGACCTTTAAAAAATATGAGTTTCACATCGAGGTCAGCATGGAGAGGAGACAGGGTTATTATTCAAGAAAACTAGAATCAAAAAGGCAAAGAAAGCCAGACAATACAAACTTCATCTTGCCACATATCTCGTTATCAGTTGTTTCAGAGATTCATATAAATCTTGGAAAAGGCTTTGAACTTTATAGTCCAAAGAATTATTATCCAGCACAATTTCATTCAGATTCTAGGAACATGGTAGCACCAAACCTATAGCTGATTTATCCAAGTGAAGTACGATTATTCAAAGGGTAATCTACATGGTTCATGCCAGAGCCAATGCCATTTAGGACACTTCTCTGCTGACAGCATCTTGCCCTTGTGTGGGGATGATGATCTTTGAGGGATTGCATTTTGTCTCTTAAGAGGACTCTGCAATTTTCAGGTAAGCCAAATATTCCTTGAGGGCCTCACAATGAAATTAGGTCTCATTGTTCCTCTGTACTGTCCCATACACCAGTCCCTAACTTAAGCCTGGTATATGGGCATATGGAATCCTCACCTATTCATTGATTCCTGTCCTTGCTGTCTTGAGAGAAGTATTATAGTCAATAGCAATAGTGAAAGAGGGGGGTCAGGGGTTTAGCTCAGTGGTACCATACCTGCCTTGCAAGTGCAAGTTTCTGAATTTGATCCCTGGTTCCAAAATAATAGTGAAAGAGGATTGTCCACAGTGACTACTGATACCTGAACCCAGAGACCCCACAACTTGGATTCATGGTTCCAGCTCAGCATGAAACTGAAGCAGAAGACACATCAATTTTGTGCCAGGGCCAAACACCATACTACCATGGGCTCTAGAGGAAATGCATAGCCACAGCTGGGAGGCCAAACCACTTGAGCAGTCTTTGATATAGAGAGCTAGACTGTCAGTCCTCCAACTGGGTGGATCCCTAGCCATTCCCAAATGATACAGGTTGGAGAAGAACAGCATGTGCAAGAAGGAAGTAACCTCAAGTAGTTTCTGTATGGGAACACACTCCACCATCCCTAGGACATGATGGGCCCTCTTGGCTTTCAAGACTCTTAAGCCTGAAGATCACAGTGCCTGGCAATCTGTGTGTTTACAGAGTCCCTCTCTCGTCCCCATTATCTCCGCTTTTCCTTTAGGAAAAGAAGAGAAGCTGCCCTACTCATTTTCTCCTCCATAGTGAGACCTGTTTCAGGACCCACTGAAGAGGATGTGCATCTGACTGCCTGAACAGAAAATCCCTGCCTGCTATTCCCTGTCTAGTCATTCCTTTGTGATTTACTGATGAGATCAAAAGATCCAGAGGAAACCCAACTTTGAGACATCGGGGATATGATCAGATCAGACTGGCAGGTGGGAGAGAGACTGAGTAAAGTTAGACCCCACCAAAGATGTCCTCTAGATGGGTTCTAGGAAGACAGGACCAGTCCAGCATAGATATAAACAGATGGAATCTCTTCTGTCCCACTTTTTTGTGCTTCCTCCACAGCAAGACTTCAGGGGCAGAACCTCCAAGTTACTGACCTCACCTGGGTTGCACAGACTTTTCTAATTATTGAGAGCCAGGCTTAGCAGCCCACATCATATTATTCCATCATCATTGGCTGGCATGTCCCCTCATGTCAAGGCAGGAGGAGTGAAGAGTCAAGAGAACAAATTTCAAGTGCACCCATCCCTGGAACTCCTACTGGCTCAACCACTCTCCTCTACCAGAGAGGGCAGCAAGGGCGGTGAAGCTCAGGACAGCCTCCTTCATTCAGAAATCACTAACAAGATGTTTCAAACCACAGGGAACATCATTCAATTGAATAAGGAACAACTGTTTTTTAAGTACCTTTCATGACCTTTAAAGGTCCAATTCCATAGTTCCTGTATATGACCAGGCTGACTATACAATTTTCATCCTTTTATATAGGGAGATCTTTTAAGAACCAGCTCTTCTTAGTTCACCTGCTTTGAGTTACAGGACTTCCTTGAAAATAGAACACATCATTTCTCTCCATAACTGGTACTTTTCACTAACTCATACTGACCTTACCCTACTCTTAGTACTTGTACTTATTCACGTTATTCAACTGCTAAACTCCTGTCTCTCTCTAGTATGGCAGTTCCCAGTTCAGAACCACAGCATTGCCGTCTTCCCAGTTACTCTGATTCCAACCAGTGACTGCTTAATTGGTCCCTGCCTAGCTCCTATGGGAAGCTGTTTCTGGAGTCAGAGCTACCGCAGGCCTTGTGCCCTCATCTCCAAAAGTCATACACTCTACTTCTTGGCTCGTCCTCCACCTTTCTCTTTCTCTGTTTTCTTTTTTCTAGCCATCTCCAGCTTTTCCACCTAACACTTCCTTGGTTCTTCAGATGCTGACCCTTCTTTTCATTCCATAGTGTGCTGTGAGTTTGTCTGCTGACCTGTGTTTGCCCTTCTTTCCTGAATTTGCAATCTCTTTATGACTCATCTTCTTCTCTTGACTCTTGTTATCCAGCACGTGGTCCATGGACACCAACACAAGTGAGCGGTTCTGCCTTAAATTAGAAGATGACTTCTTCAAACCCTCTACCATAACTTCTTCTCCTTCGTTATATCCCCGGCACCGACCACTGTGCCATCATGTAGTATGTATTCAATAGACACTAACTGAATGGGTAGATTTTGGGGCTTTTCTCCTGACCTCACGTGCTATGTTCTTTTTTAAAACACATTCTGACGTATCTATGCCACCCATTTTACTCTTCACTTTGCTCTTCCCCACTTTCCTTTTCTCTTCTTCCTCTGCAGCAGGAAGAAGATCAGAGGGCAGGTGAGAGAGAGCTGGACCCCACTGAAGACGTCACCACGTGTTTGTTCATGTGAGCTGCAAAGAAGAGCTGAAGACAGAGGCATCATATTTCCATGGCTGCCTGCACTCACCAGCCCTCGAGTCTCAGGCATAAAAAGGCCTTGAAGTTACTTGGAGGCTCCGTTGCAGTGTCTCTTTTTAGAGATGATTAATTCTGGTTCCAAATAACATGAAACCTGAGCTCCAGTTTGCTTCTGCCTCCTCCACCACTGTGTTAATTAAATGAGCATATATGAAAGCCAGGGACAAAAGGGAAGAAGATATAAAGCACAGTAAGAAATAACTTGTGCCCTCAGGGAGCTTATGAAAGCCATGAATCATGAAGCATTGAGTCCTAAGCCACCTCAGTTGGTGCCACATTTTCTTTGATCATGGTGCACCCTCTCAGGAGAATGACAATAAAATTAAATTGAGTTCCTGCCCAAATCACACCCAGATTGAGGACTGTCAAGGGATAGTTACAAAGGCGGAGGAGGGAAGAGTCACCTCAGAGCTGAAAGCTGACCACATTGCTGGAGAGAAG